CTCTGGACTAGACCGTCCAGCCCTGTGATCTAGGAAATACCTATATCTGGGAACTACATGCAGGAGATACCTGGGGGGTTATTTAAAATGCACTTTCTGGCTGTATCCAGGATCCTTGGAGCCAGCCCCCAGGAATCTGCATCTTAGCAAGCACCCTGAGGTGCTAAGCTTCTAGAATTACAAATCCTGGATTTCCCATTTTAATGGGGTCTCACCTTTCATTTGTATCCATTACAACGGGAGACAGGAGCCCCTTCCCTTTCACATGGTCTCCCCAGACATGCCCCTCACCCCATTGCAACCCTGGAGCAGACCAGGTGGCAGAGCCAGAAGTTTATGGAGCAGGAGCTCCCTGCCACCTGCCCGTCACTGCGCCAGCTCCACTGGTATAACGTGGAGGCCGCAATCACGATGAGAAACCCGAGGCTACCAAAGGGGTGGTCACTTGCCCAAGGTCACAAGGCCATCAGTGGAGGAGGTGGAGGTTCAAATCCCAGTCTGCGCATCAGAGCACTGTGGAGAGCCTTCTGCCAGGCCAAACTCTCTCTCCCCAGGTGGAAGACAGACAGAAGGTCATTGTCATGTTGAAAGAAGACTGTTGGTTCTCGGTCCTCTTTCCTACCGATCAGCGGCTAACACAATCAGCGGCTAACATAATCGGCACTGAAGGCTGATCACTTATGATGGGGAGCAGGGTACAACAGGGTCACAAGGAGGGGAGGAGGAGTGCGAGTGGCTTTGATGAGAGTAGATGGCTCCTGGGGACAAAAGAGGAGCTGTCGCAGCTATCAGCTCTAATGGACTTCTCACAGAAACAGGGATGGCGGCTGCCTGCTTCTGTCCTTCACCACCCAGCCCTCACACCCTCCCCCCATCAGGTTTAGCTAAAGCTAACTAAGTATGACCATTGTAAAGTTTTAAATCACAGGCCCAAGCAACTGGCAGCTGGGGGCCCCATGGCACTTTGCTGCAGTTTCCATCTTTGGCAACATTGGCCTGGATCAGTGCGCATGCTTATCATCTGGCCACAGTTCGGTGACGTGCAGACTCAGAGTGAACATCTGAGTATCTGCTGTGTGCTCTGTGTTGTGCTATGTACAAACGACTGGAATTTAGTCTGTACCTGCTCTAATGGAATAGAAAAGCCTTATTGCCCCTGAGGTGCTATGGGAACAGAGCAGGGAGATTCCTCGCCCGGGAGGAATTGGGGTGGGGGGGGGGGGGAAACTCTGTGAAGGAAGAGGCTCTGAAGCGAGGATGGGAAAGTGTGCTCAATCGGAGCCACACAGAAGATGAGAAGGCAGGGGGCATTCTCTGTGGCATAAACTGTGTGCAGAGGAAGGCAGGCGGGTCCCAGCCCTGCCAATTCTGCCTCCCGAACGCTTCCTGTCCGGTCCCTTAAACCCAGTGCATCTCAATCTAGTCATTTGTGTAACCCCCGCCCCTCCTGCATAGTTATTTCACATTTTTCTTTAAGTTGGTTTACTCATTTTTATGAAACTTACGTTACGAAGAATCTTTCTGTCACAACAGTAATTAAAAAAACAGATTTTGCTTATAAATAGATGGTCACTAGAAAAGTGAGAACACTGAAAGCAAGATAATGCTACTGAAATCCAGCCAGGTTCTGCCCCCCCCCCCCAGGGTTGGGGGGAGGGGCGTTGCTGAGTCTGCAGCCTACTCTCTCGTCATTAAAAAAAGAGAAAACAGGGGCGCCTGGGTGGCGCAGTCGGTTGAGCGTCCGACTTCAGCCAGGTCACGATCTCGCGGTCCGTGAGTTCGAGCCCCGCGTCAGGCTCTGGACTGATGGCTCAGAGCCTGGAGCCTGTTTCCGATTCTGTGTCTCCCTCTCTCTCTGCCCCTCGCCCGTTCATGCTCTGTCTCTCTCTGTCCCAAAAATAAATAAATGTTGAAAAAAAAAAATTAAAAAAAAAAAAAAAAAAAAAGAGAAAACAGCAAATGTTAAGAGAGGCATTAGGGACACCCCAGCAGCAGCCGGAGACTTCCTCCTTGAGATAATCAAGGGTGAGACAGGACAGAAACGAGACCCTTGCTTTAAGCTTTATGCGTCCCCCACTAAAGAGACCCCAGGTACCAGTGTCCATACTCTTCGAGAAACTCTTGTCCCAGACAAACCGGAGCCAGCCCCAAACCACATGTGTGCCTCCGCGGTCTCCTGTAGATTGCTGGTTTGCAACTGTGCTCTTGGGAGATGGCAGATGCCATGGCTGTACCTAGAGACTGTCATGGTGGGAGAGCACTTTGCATGACAGCAACCACCACACCCCCACAATAGCAACAACCCTCATCATAGACAACACTTCTCCAATTCTTACTGAATACCAGGCCCTTTGCTAATAAGCATTTAAACACATTGTTATTTAATCCTCACAAAAGTATCCACGAGGGTGCCATTATCATTCCCATTTTACAGGATGACAAAATTGAGGCACAGGAAGGTTCAACACCTGCCCAAGAGCAATGTTACCCTCTTTACGTATTGGATTCCCATACACAATCTCACCGTTTTATTCATCCTTTCATCCAGTCTTTCAGCAGACAGACATCAAGTACCGTCTATGTTTCCTTTCCTTTTATTTGGAGCAATACGCTCTCTGTTTTATTTTTTTTATTTTTATTTTTATTTTTTTTTTAAATTTTTTTTTTTTAACGTTTATTTATTTTTGGGACAGAGAGAGACAGAGCATGAACGGGCGAGGGGCAGAGAGAGAGGGAGACACAGAATCGGAAACAGGCTCCAGCCTCTGAGCCATCAGCCCAGAGCCCGACGCGGGGCTTGAACTCACGGACCGCGAGATCGTGACCTGGCTGAAGTCGGACGCTTAACCGACTGCGCCACCCAGGCGCCCCCTCTCTCTGTTTTAAAACGAAACGTGCTGTTTCCGGCTCTGCCCGCGCCTTGACTTGCATCCTTCACTCCCGGCATCTTCAGACGGTCTCCTGTTGCCTGTGCGCACTGTGCTGCGATGCACTGCTCAGGTCACCCATTAGGACCTGGACACCTGTTCCTCTGCTTCCAGGTTGCTGGTGGCTCTCGCTGAGTCCGTCTCCGGGAACTGCACTAGACTCAGGGGGACTGTGTGGCTTTCTGTTCTGCTCCCCCCACCCTGGTTGGTGTGGGGCACAGCTGGCAACTAGGGACAGACCATTACGGGGGAACAAAGCAGAGACCCCTTGCATCACTCCAGGGCCACTGTTGGGGCTGCCCCTGCTCCGAGCTCCCCGCGGGTCGGCTGAGGCCTCTGTTGCAGCTGCACCGCAGACCAACTTCCCCTGCCAGGCCTGCCACTCACGCCCCCTCACAGGTGGGTCCCCAGCCTGATCCCCAAAATGCCTGGGAGACTCCACCTAAGAGACTGTACAAAGGCATCTGTCCCCATCGAAAGCTATAACCCAGCCCCGGTCTTCCTGGTGGTCCCTCCACAACTGAGACCCAAGCAAAAGGAGCCCCAGCGCGTTGGCACTAAAGGCCCAGGGCCACCTCAACCTCCACAAGCCCTGAAAGTCATGGAGGCGGTTGGTCTCTTTATTTACGTTTTCACACATTAGCTAATTAGATTTGTTCCCAGGCCCCATTACTGGTTCCTCACGTGTATCATAGCCTCGGCTCTAATGACAGGCAGCCACACAGGTGGGCCTGGGAAGATGCTCTCTTTCAGGTCCGCAGGGATCAGCCAGGGCAGGAGAGAGAGGAAGGAGAGGGGAGACTGGATTACAGGGTGTCAGGGAAGGGTCACTGCTCCCCTACCTTTTTCCACCTTTGAGCAAGGAGAGAGCAATCAGCATTTCCCCTCCTTAAGGAGGCATCTTGTCAAGGCAGCCAGAAGGCCTGAGTGGTAAGTGGCCCACCTTTGCTCTATTCTTAAATGGCCTGTTAAAAATAGCCTACATCTGCCCCAGGGTTGACCCCTAACATTTCTTAAATTTCATTGCAAATTACTGTCTCGGCAATTCCGCAGGCTTCCCACTGTAAGCCCAAGCCCAGCAATAAAGGCAGAAAAGAAACGGAATTAGAACCTGCAGCCCACACTGGTGATTTTGGGATGTGGATGTGCGGGCTCACCAGTAATCTCACTTAGCATAAAGCAGGCGGTGGGACTCAGTCTGAAGGAGCTCCAAGGTCACCGCGTCCAGCCCCGCTTTGCATCACAGGAGCAAGGACCAGGCCGTCCAGACACCGTCCTTCGAAGAACAGAGAAACATCGCAACCAGGAAGCCTGGCCTGTCATCGCCTTCAAAGGCCTGGCCACCACATCTAGTTAGTGAGTACCCACTATGTGCCGGGCCACGAGTCAGCGGTTCGCAACATCCGTGGTCTTCGGATGTCTCTACGTGCTTAAAAATTATTGAGGAGAGGCCCCAGAGTGCTTTGGCTGCTGTTTGTCATATAAGATACGAAAACTGAAGAACTGTACAAATATGCATGAATTGGGGCGCCTGGGTGGCGCAGTCGGTTAAGCGTCCGACTTCAGCCAGGTCACGATCTCGCGGTCCGTGAGTTCGAGCCCCGCGTCAGGCTCTGGGCTGATGGCTCAGAGCCTGGAGCCTGTTTCCGATTCTGTGTCTCCCTCTCTCTCTGCCCCTCTCCCGTTCATGCTCTGTCTCTCTCTGTCCCAAAAATAAATAAACGTTGAAAAAAAAAATTAAAAAAAAAAAAAACAAATATGCATGAATTTATTCATTTCAAAACAACCCATTACACGGTAACATGTCACATATGTTTTGAAATCAAAACGTGTCTATATTTTACAAAGTAAACTCTATCGTGCATGCCTGGGTGGTTCCATCCGTTAAGAGTCCGACTCTTGATTTAGGCTCAGGTCATGATCTCACAGTTCGTGAGTGCGAGCCCTGCACGGGGCTCTGTGACAGCACTGAAGCCTGCCTGGGATTGTCTCCGCTCCTCCCCCACTTGCTTTCTTTCACTCTCAAAATACATAAGTATAAACTTAAAAAAGTTATAAAAAAATAAACTCTACCTTACAGAACAAAGATGACTGGTGAGAAGAGGGACATTGTTTTACATATCTTCAAATCCCTTTAATGTCCAGCTTAATGGAAGACAGCTGGATTCTGAGATCAGCTTCTGCTTTCGGTCTGGGGCAATAGCTTGTTCTGGTTAAAAGGTATAGAGAAAATCTGGCCTCACACAGATACATGGTTGGAAAAGGGAGAAGCAGTTTAACAGCCTTTTCGGATAATGATGGGTGTTCTTTGGTACTATGGTCACACTTGACAAGTTTTGGTTAAGCGTAGCTGCAACGTAAAATCCCAAACTGTGCTGCCGAACTGTTCTACTCTGCCCCATTAAAATCCACTGGTCTGTCTCCCACTTTGAAGGGATCTCTTACCCAGGCAAGATTTCCTAACATCTTGATTGTTCATTGGGAAACAACTGCTTCACAGACTCCTGCAGGTTTTCCAAACATTGACATGTTTCATTGTACAGTATCACGAATTCAAAGTCACCAGTATCGCCGCAGTTCTCCTCCAGGACGTTTGATGAGAAGGCGTCAAGTTCAGAATGGCAGATAAAGTTTTCCAAACTTCTGCTTTTCACTTAGCTCGAACTTTATCGCCGGTAACAAATACTGCCAGTTGCGTTCCCTAAAATGACAGGCTCGCTTAATTCATTTCTGAGAGAACATCTGCAAAATGCCCAAATCTGAAAAAGCATGGCGCTCGTTGGTTGTTCTTTCAAGCAAAAAGCATGTGTCGTGAAAAAGCAATGAGTGACTCAGCTCACAATTCGACCACATGTGAGCTTTTCCTCCACGCTACCTGCAACGATGGTGCTTTTGTATGCAGCCAAAATGCTTTATCCGTCCTTCCCGCTTTTCTTTATACAGATCACTAAAAAGACAAGGGTCGATGGGGCGCCTGGGCGGCTCAGTCAGTTAAGTGTCCAACCCCTGATTTCGGCTCAGGTCATGATATCACAGCTTTGTGGGATCGAGCCCCGTGTCAGGCTCTGTCCTGACAGCAGAGAGCCTGCTTGGGATTCTCTCTCTCCCCCCACCCCTCCCCTGCTCACATTCTCTCTCTCAAAATAAACAAATGAACAACAACAAAAAAAGGCAAGGGTCGAGGTTTCATAAAGTTAACCATTTCATTGCCTCATTAGGGACATCCTTGGTGTCCTTACACACGTGCCAGTCTCATGTGTTTTAATGCAACTGGGTGACGGTCACAGATATGGCCATTCCTTGTACATTTTGATATGCCACATCCTTGATTCAAACCAACGTCAGTTTTACCCACCACCGCTACCAATGTTAATAGAATGAAAAATGCAAATGACGTCCTAGAGTTATGGAAATAGTTTTGACCTCAAGGACCCCCTGAAAGAGTTTCGTGGGCTCCCAGGTGTCTCCAGACTGCACCTGGAGAACTGCTAAGCTAGGAGAGTGCAGTTGTTACTGCACCTCCAGAAACTTCCAAGCTGTCAAGAAGATAGAGCATAAACAGACACAATTACCATACGATGTAGTGAGGGCCAGGATGGAGGCATGGCAAAGACAGCAATTTGTCTTGCACTCTGGAAACTGGCAAAGCTTTCACAGTGCAGGGAACTTTTGAAATGGGTCTTGAGGGTTAAGTAGGAGCTCACCCAGAGAGAGAAGGTGGATCTCTGTATTCCCACTTTCAGAAGGATGGGTCCTGGGCAGGCAAGGCCTTGGGAAACAGGTACAAAGGAAGAAAATAAACAGGAGAGTTCACATTATTAATAAAAATAACATTGGTCACCATCACGGAACACCTCCTCACGCTTTACCTACATTATCTACATTTATTTTTTTTTTAATTTTTTTTTTAACCTTTATTTATTTTTGAGACAGAGAGAGACAGAGCATGAATGGGGGAGCGTCAGAGAGAGGGAGACACAGAATCTGAAACAGGCTCCAGGCTCCGAGCTGTCAGCACAGAGCCCGACGCGGGGCTCGAACTCACGGACCGCGAGATCACGACCTGAGCCGAAGTCGGACGCTTAACCGACTGAGCCACCCAGGCGCCCCCACATTATCTACATTTAATTCTCTCCCCAAAGCTATGAAATGCATGTGATTCTCTCTTTGTTTAAAGAAGGTGGGTAAGTTCTCAAGGACACAGAGCAAATTCGTAAGGGAAATCAAGATTAAAAAGCAGGACTGCCTGCATTAACATATGTCAAATGCTCAGAAGTGCCTGGCACATAGTAAGCACTCAATGTGTTTGAGCTGCTTTTGCTCTTACTGGTGTCCTCAGCGTATTCCTGCCTGGTCTCAGCTGCACAGCCCACCTTCTCATAGTAAGGGCAGGCTCTGTTAACACCACGTATTTTAAGCAGGTCTAGAAGCATGAAAATACGTCGCAGCAAGAGCACTTTTCCTGCAAGCAGTTCTATTCCTGAAGGCTGATTCACTTGGGTCCCTCTGTTCCGTGTCTCATGCCTGCCAAACCTGCGTGGACCCGAGCGGTGTAAAGATAATAAAAGCAGGCCCTGAGGCCGAGTCCCAGGGAAGGCCCAGGGCACTCAGGGCCCTGATTTAAAATGCGCTGGGGTTGGCCTCTTCTCAGCTGAGTCTCCTTCCCTTTTCAGTTCTGCCCGTTCACCCTCTGCGGGCTCCTGGGATGAGGCAACCATTCAATCCTGCTGTGCACCTGAAAACAGGAAGATATTCGGTGCATTCACCTTTGACCTATTTCTGCTGCTGTCATTCTAACAAGCAGGTGAGGAGAGCCCCCTGTCCCTGGGCTCTGCCCTGCCTGAAGCAGGCTGGCAGGCTGTTGTCCATATGCTGGCTTTGTCTGTTAGGTCACCAGACAAAGCGCCCCAGAATGCCAACTGCCCCGGGTTTGGTTACTCTGTTCTTGACACGTGATGAGCCCTCGGCATCATGTGAATCCTGAGGATGGGATGTTGTGTGTGAGCTCCCAAGGGCAACTCAAGAACATCGGTCGTGCTGGTGCTCCCAGGCCCTATTTATTTCCAAATGATCCCGGCCCCCAGGAACCCCTACTAGAAATGGAGCGCGTATCTGTGTAAAGGCTTTGTAGAGACGATCCATCATTTGCAACGTATTTCATCATCTTTCTAAGGCTGGTACAAATGTTCTGCCCGAAGCCACCACGGGGTTCAGTTTCTGTGGCCTGGGCTCAGCCACGACGGTGATGCTGTAGCACTTTCTACATGTCAACCTCTGGGTGCACCACTTCGCGTACATTGTCCAGTTTCGTCCTGAGCACAGCTCCTGGGAAGACTCCAGATAAGTCACTCTCCTGGAATCAGGAACCAGGACCAAGGCCAGTGTGATCAGATTCCCCAGTGTGAGTGCTTTCACTCTTCCATCCCCCTGGCTGGTCCTCTTTGCCATCAGGCTTGGCTGAAATAAACTGGGGCAAAGCTGGAACCAGTATTTTTGGGGGTGTCTCTACCTGCACCAGACCTTTTACCCATGCGTTATCTCATTTCATCCAGGAAATAGCCCTGAGGTACAGGAGATGATGTAGAGGCCCAACCTGCCGATCAGCTCGCCCGCGGCCACGCGTTTCAAGCAGAGCCGGATCCAGACCCAGGTCAGCGTGAACTCCAAGTCTGCGGCCAGTGTGTCACACACGTTGTTTCCACTGCACTAGGACATCTGGGTCTTCTGGGAGCCCCGAGGGAAACATCTGTGCAGTGAGCACGAGTGGCAGGGCTGGTTACTTCCAGTGAGAGGGAAGCAGGGAGGAAAGGTCTGAAGCCAAAAAGATTTGGGGGTAGGGGACTGCCATGGCGGGGAGAAGGGCGAGGAAATAAGAAGGCAAGTCCCCACGGTGCAGGAACAAGGAATCTGGGCAGAGCGTGCTCGTCCCATTGTCAGAATCAGGAGTGTCCATCCCTCCAATTCCTTCCAGATCATTCCAAACATCAGGGCTCGGTTTAAGCAGCACACGATCAATGGCGCCTTCCTCCAGCCCACGCTCAACCCGATGTCAGCTGGCATCTGCAGTCTGAGCCTCTCTCTCTGGATGTGAATTGCGTACAGTCACATACTGCGGTCTGTCTCAAGTGTCTCCAGATAGAAAGTTCCCATCGCACAGGAGGCACCCACTGAGGTGGGAAGTTGCTAACAGGGAGGACGCTGTCCTTTTTATTCTTCTCTTATTCTTCACAGGACCCAGAAGACTGGCAAAAACAGACATATGCTCAAATCAATGCATGTGGTGTGGAACTGATCCCATTTTATAGAGCAAAACAGAGGAACTCCTATAAATTAAGTCCACAGTTCCAGGGTTATCTGATTTTTCTTTAACGATAAATCTCCTGATCACTACAACACTTCAAATTAAAGGCAAGTAAGTGTGGATTGATTTAAGAAGGAAGAGGAGGAGGAGAAGGAGAGAGAAAGAAAGGGGTAGGAAAGAGGAGGTGGGAGGAAGGGAAAAAAGATGAAGGGGAGGAGAGAAAGGGGAGAGATGAGGAGGGGGAGTAGGAAAAGCAGGGGATGGAAAAAATGGGAGGAAATAATGAGAGGGAGGATGAGGAGGATGGGGAAGAGCTGAGGAGAGGAAGGAGGAGGGGAAGGGGAGGAGGGGGAGGAGGGGAGGAGGGGGAGGA